GTGCTAAAAGTGCTGTACTATATTCCGTATATTCTTATGAAAAACGATGCAATAATTGGAAAACGATAACTTCACCTTGAATTTCTGATTTAAGCTTCGCGGTTTTCTATTAAAATCTAATGCCATGCACTTTGCTAGAGAAATTAAGAAATTTCGATGTACTTGAAAACTGCAAGCGTGAAATTTTTGTGAATGGTTTGCCACAACACCATAAATTTAAATGTAATTTTTGTATCACGCCCAAACAAATCAGGCGCACGTGATCAAACAGAGAAAAAACGATCATATTAATACCCGGAATATTTTGCAAAATGGATATATTAACGTGATGGTCATCGTCAACTTTTTGATATTGTTTATAGTAGAAATGCTTCAATGAACGAAAATAGAATACTTTTAAAATAACTAAAACTTTCTAGGAAAACAGTATCTCACTGTCACTGATCACAAATGGGACTTGAAGAAAAGGAAGAATTAACAATAATCGATGTGATATTTCAAAAAAAATCCCTAAAAATTCTTTTTATGGATCATTGCGCAAAATGAAAATTGTCTGCATAAGTTGCAAATAATAAAAATAGTATTTTTAAATTCTCCTAAAGCTTTGACTATTACTGTATATTTGTTGAACAAAGCCCAGAATTATTATAAACACCGTCGATAGTGCAATTGTGAAAGTGGTCAAAGGGTAAAAATGTGTGTGAGATAACTGTTGAAAAGACTACTTATTATAACAAATAATAAATAACAAATAACAAATAATAAATAATAGACAATAAACAATGGACAATAAATAATAAACAATAAATAATAAATAATAAATTCTACTATATAATACCCACTATAAATAAATAATAAATATAATAAACATAAATAAAAATAATAAAGTAATAAACAAAATTGTTGAAAAGAATATTTGCTCGAGGTTTCAACCATGCGTGCTCCCTGTTATCCTCGGTTCATACGTAAATTCCAGGCAAACGAAACTATGGAGATGACAATTACTCCTCAACTTGAACGATGTTAATACATCAATCACATTCACGCATTCAAAGAATATCTTCATTACAATCTTCCTGATTAATATTCTATGACCAAGTTCTTCTACATCCGATATTCACATTACTGCGAAGAATACTTATTACCGATCTGAAATATTTCAGTAACATGAATGCTCTAACAGAATAATACCAAACATAATCAAATCATTCACTACATGACGTGCATACTGCACAGCAGGATATTAATCAGACGCACTCCGGGATATTCAATAACAAAAGATATCTTTGACGTTACCGAATTCGATAATTGGCCAACTATTAGGTCTAGGTGATTCTCAATTTTTTCGAAGCGATTTTCTAATATTTTGAAACGCTTTTTGGATAACCGATATTAACGCCATTAAATAAATTCATTACCTTTAAATAAATTGGCGATTCTCGTATACATCAATTATCGATAATTAGTCCTTCTTTCGAGCCCCAAATAAATAGATAAATAAATACACCAATCTAATCTCAATGTTTATATGCAACATCTCGTGGCCTACACTTGGCATCTACCACGAAAATAAATATGTGCCAGGCAGGATCGATTGAATCCTGTTAGCGCGTACCCTGGGTCGGTGGCTGCGTCAACTTTGACCCGGAGTATTTAGATCGTTCATTGGATTACTCAATTATTGGCAATTTAAATGGGTATCGCACAAAGATTTGTTTCTATTTGTATCAACTTTAATAAGTTGCAACGAATATAATAGCATATTTAAATACTGTTTTGACTATTAACACATATCCGAGGTCGGTGGCTGTGTCAACTTTGACCCGAAGTATTTAGATCGTTCATTGGATTACTCAATTATTGGCAATTTAAATAGGTATCGCACACACAGATTTGTTTCTCCTGTTATTAACTTCAATAAGTTGCAAAGGATATAATAGCATCTTTAAATTCCTCTAAAGTTTTGATTATGTCCATATTGTCCATTCTCGTCATAAATGCATTTTTATTAAAAGATCTAAAAATACCAGTCTGCAAGAAATATTTTCAATGATATGTTTGTGGAAAAAATGATTGAATAAAGAATGAAGAATTGTTATAAGTATCGTCAATAGTGCAATGATCCCTAGTAGTAGACCAATTAACGAATCCAGTATCGTCAAAGATTTCTTTCATTAAAAAATATCCGGGAGTACGAGTGACAAATATCCTCCTGTACAGACTGTGCACATCAAGTCGAAAATGATTTTGATTATATTTTTGGTTCATTCGAATAGATTTACTCATGACACCGAAATCTTTCAGATCCACTAGCAGATATACTATATATATAGTAGATATACTATACTACACTACATCAACTAGCAGATACTGAAGTAGACCCGGCCTTAGAACATTAATCTAGAAGATTGCAATGAACATATTTTCTGAAGTCGCAAATGTGATTTACGCATCAAAACCGTTCAAGTCGCAAAGTGACTGTCATCTCCGTAGTTTCAATCGTATGGAATTTACATATAAAACGAGGATAAGAAAAAAAGCACTCATTATTGAATCCTCGAGCAAACATTCTTTTCAACATTTTACGAATACTATTGACGATATAATATAATACTGTACTATCGACGATATTCAGAGCAATTCGACATCGCAGACTTATCAATAGACCGCGGAGATTTTTATTATTATTTTTTTTAATTATTATTATTTTATTTTATCTTATTTTTATTATTCTTAAAACTTATTTCTTGAAACAGCAATTCGTTCGATCGTGATTGCCGACACTCGTGGTTAATTAAATGAACGATCTAAACACCATGGGCCAAACTGACCCGGTGCGATCGTCTTGCGACGATCAAAATAGATGTGTAACGTCTATATGTAATAGATTCGATTGACTCGCATGATCAACCGTTCGTATTCGGCTCGATCCCGTCCGCGATAGTCGCGGTTATTCGAGCATCGATTCAGGACGCCGAATTCGATTCTCGGCGAGAGATTCTTATTGTTTGGGAGTGGGGGCGGGGGCAGCCTGCACGCGCGAGGCAATAAAGAGCATCCAGGATTATTTTTGCAACGGTAGGTCCCGGTGCACACGCTGCCGGGTTCACGAAACTCGTCTATTTAGCGAGTCGGTGTGTGCTCATTCACACACGACTTTATCGATCTAAAGCTCCGCTTCGGGACACGCGATTCGCAGCAAGCTCAACGACCCGTGCCGGGTCGAAGTTCCGATGCCCAGGGAACCACGAAGATAAGCGTTCCACCCTTCCTCCCCCCTCCCACCCGAGCGACCGCGGCCCTCCAACGTTTCGTTGTTTTCTGCAGCCCGCTGTCTTGCCGGTTTTAACGTAATCCGACCAGCTTAAAAATGATTCTGTCAAGGTTATATTTGATAGTCAGGTTATAGATTTCTAGATCTGATCTTAGGGTCAGATTTATAGTGTCAATTGTTCTTTCCGCTGGTATGCAATTCAGTATAGATCGTCTGCGAATTGTCTTCCTTTATCATCATTGAAATCTCGAATCAGGTTTGTTGACACTTCCACCACAGAGAAATATTTACAATGTAATTTCACAACTGTCATTCCGGTTTCAACGTAATCCGTCCAGCTAAAAATTATTCTGTTCACCGTAAAGTCCCCGTAGTCGCGTCAATGTTGAGATTTATGACGTCATCTGTTCCTACGTTTTGTATGAAATCTACTGTAGATTGTTTGTGAATCAATTTTTATTATTATTACTGAAACGTCAAACGTGCAGAAGAAACTTGTATTGGCAAAATAACAGATGCTGATAAAAGGCCAAAATTGTTGTAAATTGAAAAATAATATTTATCGTTTGGAACAACTTTATTGGCCGGCAGTGCAATATGAAAAGTTTGATTATGAAGATTTGTAGAAATTTTGTGGCTTCTGTTCGCTATCGCTTTCTTTCAGTCTTTTTCGATTTATTTGATTCATATTTTTCTTATTTCAATCATCGAGAGGGAAAGACTTTCATGAAATCCAGCACGGATTATAGCATAAATATATTTTTATGAAACAACGTGAACGAACGAGAAAATGCATATGAAATTCCAATGAAACGAAGGATAATACTCTTCGCTATGGAGGATTTCATCACAGTGAAAATATAACAAAAGACTTTATTATCTTCGAATCCTTTTTCTTTGTCACTGCAAATATTCCGAGTGCATTAAACACATCGTATTAAATAAAACGGTTTTCAATTAATGAGACGGAAAGTTAAAGCTTTATTACCTGAACGGATGGAGAAATGTACGGTGCGGATGGCAGAATAAATATTTCTCAGGAAAAAGCGAGAACGAAATGAAATTCCGATGTAATGGAGAATGACATTTCTTCGTTATGGAGGATTTTATCAGAACAATGTAGTATTATTTTGTCTCTTTACACCGTCGCGTATATTCTTAATGTATTTAGTGCACTTAATGTACTTCTCTCTTCTCGTAATTAAATAATTTCCTTAATTGCAAGCCTTTTCAGCTTCGATACAATTTCATTCAGGACACGGCGTGCTATTTTGTCGCAATGTCCATTTATATTGATATCATTTATATTAACACAATGGAAGAGAGAATTATGTGAAGTATATTTATCGTTCTGGACTGTCCGTGAATTTCTCGCCTAAATGCCTTCATGAAAATTATATAAATAAAAATTTTTGGGACAATGCAAATAAAAGTTCTACCAATTGTTCTTAATACACACGTCTCCTAGTATTTTAACGTTAATTCTCCTGTTAATTATACACATCTAGCATTTAGCAATTTTCTGAAGAGAATAATTACTTGAAAATAAGTAATCTAAATCTACAATCTAAATCTACAATCTAGTTGCTATCTAATTATCATTTTCATTATTTGATTATTTGCAATAATCTTCTAATCAGTTTCTTAAAAATAATAGTGCGAGTTTCATCAGAATATTTTTCTAAAGACCCCCTGAACAATTTTGAAGACCGTTTAGTAATTCTCCAATTCTCAGGAGTGGGCGATACTTTTGTCCCGAAGTGTACCATACACGAATCCGACACGGAACGGGGAATCCAAAGAATCGGAAGAAGACGACTGCATGTTCGCTGCAAAAGCTGTCAAGCTTTACACCCGAGAAGCACGCTTCGCGGACAGCAGGGTTCCGCAAAAATTGCATCGCGGTGGCGCACGGTTTCGAGGGTATTTAGAAAGTTCTTGTTAAGGAGGAGTTGCTGGCAGGTCTGCCGCCGAATGGCGCAAACACCTCGTACACAAGTTCGCCGACCTGCACTTTGTTCGAGGGCATTAAGACCTCTAACCCAGAACTTTTTCTAGATACTTAAGGAGTCTGTCTGCACTCGCTGAAGGTACATAGACATCGAACGACTTCCGGTGTTCTTATGTTTCCTGCGCCGTTGGGGAATCGGGGACTCTGCCAGAATTTTCAAAGGCTGCCCGAACTGTTCGAATGGAGTCTTTAGTTTAATATTCTTCGGTTCTCCTAGGAAACTAATTAAAATATTTATGGAAATACTCGGGTTTTTGAAGCGGATGCGAACCAGCTTCCGAATATCGTGCGTTTTGATCCCGATGCCACAAGGAAAATAAACATATTATTATCGTACAACATATCATTAATTAATTATTAAATCAATTATTAACTACTTATTAATTAAATATTGAAAGACTTCTTTTACCACAGAAATTTGACTAGATTAACGGGGATTGACTAGATTAATGGGGATTCTATACCCATTTTCTCGTTCGTTCACGTTTATCCTTCACGTTTTTAGTGTTTCAGAGACGCAAGATGAATTTAAATATTGTTACAATGTTCTGACTGTCAATGTATCAACATCTGAAAATTCTACGGAGTCGAAGTAATTCATTGAACGACACGAAAATTGGAAAATTAAAAGGGTCAACTAGCATACGTGCCAAATAGTCAATGGTAAACTGAATTGTCCGTTGAATAAAAATTGTTCTTCAGATTCGATAAAAAAGATATTATGTCACCGTTGTACAATCTAAACGACAGTCAAAGTGTCAACTCCTGGTTTAACATTCGTACCTTCGGGATGAAATTGCATCATGATCTCGAAAACGATTCCTTGACAACTGAAATGTGATACTCGCGTGCGACACGCCGAAATTGATTTGAAATTATAATCGTAAACAAAGGGCTATTTCGGGTGAAATTTCTGATCTATTTTTGTGAGCGTCCCAACGTCTGAGAGTTTCATACTCGTGCATTTTTCCATCGTTGCGCAGCGTCTGCCAGGACGCGCCTGAATATGTAGCCCGGCGCTCGTATTCGAAGAAATCTTTCGTTCCTGGCTGCGGGGCAGATCCCCGTGAAATGTGGTACACGTACATGCAACACCTTGTGTAAATCATCGCGATCCAACGATCTCGTTACCTAACCCCGTCACGATGGCGCGGCGCTCGATAAGCTAATGATGGAACGTAGCCGTTCTCTTCCCCTCTATTTCTCTCCCCTTCTGTCCCGGTATGCGCACACTTACGGCTGTGATTAATGGTTGCCAGAAAAAAGCGCCGTTCGATCTTCCCGTATCTCCTTTCTTCGTTGAAAAAATCGAGAGCTCGGAAAGGTACGAAAGAACGCAGATATTCGGGGATGCGCAGAAGAAAGTCGATCGAACGACGTAGGAATGGAAATAAGAAGGACGGTACCAATGAAAGAAGGTCTAAACTCTGAGGAGCTGGGGGAGGCCGAGAACAGCGAGGTGCAAGGGAAGGTAGGTACGAATGCTGAAGAAAGTTGAAAGAAGATCGCATCGTTGTGCAGCGCGGCTTCGCACAGGGCCACCGTTCCTGAAACATCAAGAAAGTTTCTTAAACAGTGCTAGTTTGGAACTTCTTCGAAAAATTAATTGGCTGGATTCTGTCTATGGAAACTGGGATAGGAGATGGCTCCACGAAGTAGCCACCATCTGGCGAGCGGTTACCATTTACGGTGACGTTCTTAGTAGATTGTCTAGGTAGAACTTTCCTTAGGCACCATTTCCGGACTGGAGTTCAGATGAAATGCGCCGTGACTAGATTTAAACGCGATTGGATAATCTCGAAGATTTTTAGAAGTCCAAAAAAGAAGGAAATAGCATGGATTTTGAAGTTTTGATCAGAAAAAATCGATTCACTTGTGCGAAATTTCAGGATAAATGGAACATTCGTAGACGATTGTCTTTGATCGTTTTTGTTACCGTTAAATGATTTTCGACGATACTGTGAGTGACAATGCTTGGATTTATTTAACAAATTGTTGAATAATCACCACACTGCGGTTCTTTATGCAACATACAAATTTTCTATCTCAACTGCAAGAAACAGAGGTTAAATAAGAATGTATTTCTTCTTTTAATAATATTGATAACTTGAAGAGGACATAGCGATATACCTATATTTTTCTAAAGCGTTCACGTTGCTATTTTAACCACTCATTTTTATCGTAAATGCATAAAATCCGCTGTCGATTAATCACCAAATCGAAACGAATCTAATTAAGATCTCAATCGCAGTTCAACTAACATTTTCGCATGATCCAGAACTTATCAAAAACCGCAGAACGTACAGAATGTATCTTTCAAAATTAACAGAAGCAATATAAATTAAGCGACTGATAAAAAAAGTGACTGATAGAAAATAACCTCGACATAACCAAGTATAATTTCTCCAATACAATATAGAATCTCGCTGCGCGACCTCGCACTCGGAGCAAAAGATTCCGAGAAAACGAAGTAAAAAAAAATGTCGGGACTGCGCGAAACATTGAAAAAAAAATTCCTCATCGTTTTCGGGTGGCGAACAGCCGGCCGAGCCACCGATGACACGAAAGTCGGGGGGTCGATGAACGACCGAGCCTCTCTACTTTTTTCTCCTATAACGATTTCAACTTTCTTCGAATGGAAACCCATCGAAGTATCGGAAAGAGAGGAGAGCCCGGAACCGTTCGGCGAGAATCGAAAGAAAGATTATTCGTTTCCGCTTTTTAAAAGCGGACAATCGAACAGGCGGCGCGCTCTCCGGCGTCGAGTCGACGGCTGATGGATTGGAAGAATTAAAGGATCGGTAGTTAATCGATCGTTCCATGGGAGATGCTAAAAACAGAACGTGTATTCCGAACGCTTTGGACCGGCTCGATCCGATGCGCGCAAAACAAAACGTAATTCCCGCGGACGACGTGGCCGTGAAAGGGGAACGGAGCTGGAACGTTTATGCCGAATAAAATAAACCCTCGCTCTCGGCTTATAATACTTGACAGAGCGGGAGGAAATGCCGGGGATATTCTTCTCTGGAACGGGAGACGTTCCATTTCGAGTCGGGAGGAACGTGCCAGTAATTATTGGGGCGTCTTGGGAAGTTGACTTTAGTGCTCCTTCGGCGAGTCGTTTTGGTAAGATATGGATCTTTCGCGAGACATTTTATGGTGAACGGCCACGGTTGAAATTGTCAACTGTTAGCCAAAATGTTAGACACGGAGCTTACGATTGCTCCGACTGGGTTAGTTCAAGATCAAATATTTTGCTAATTTTGCAAACGATCTTCTTGGAATTTAGTTGTTAAAGAATGGTGATATTAATAAACGCTTATATACGCTTTATCAAACGTAAACGAAATTACAAAATTAATTATTTTAGGAACTTTGCCTTTCAAATTTTCATCCACGATAACCAGACTGTGGATTTTATGCATTCACGGCAGAATTGGATAGTTGCAATTTTATTATAAATAGTAGGCACATCGGGAGAATTTCAAAATGTCGGTGCATCATTTTCAACCTATTGAAGTTATTGACGAAAGAAAGAACTCGCTATTTAGTTTATATTTCTTGCAATTTCTATTTTGCGTAAAAATCCGCAATACGATCATATTATTTTCAGTGATCTCGCGATTTTTACGATTACGTCTTGCAACATTGTTTGGCTAGAAATTTTACTTTCGTTTATTCTATCAAAAATTAACAGAGAATAATGTAATTGAAGGTGCTCGGTATTTTCCACGTGGAACATTCTTGTGTATATTTTTGTTAACGTCACAGATAATTGAGTCTAGATTACAACCGAGTCAATACTATTTTTCAAATGCAATTGATTGGCCAATCATGCCAGAATGGGAGGATATTATAGCGAAGGATTGGATGTCCTCGAAATTCCAAAGATTACGTCGCAACGAGTCGCTGAATGTCGCGAACGCGTTTATGTTTGCGCATTAGCAATAAGGGAGAGTGTGCCTCGCGATCCATCATCCCTTTGGATTACCAACGGGGTGTGTATCCAGTTTCGAACTACGCTTCGTCGTTCCACTTTCTAGCTAAGAAAACTTCAACGCTCTTGCGAATATTTTTCGACTTCATTTTTCGGATCAGATGATCCGACGACCATAAAATATTCATAAAATATTAAACTGTATATTTTCTTTCTTTTTCTGCATGTATCTTCATTCTATACATTAATGTATCTTCTCTGTTATTTGAAACAATTTAATACAGGCAGAGTCATTAATGTAAAGACTGTTCGTCCAGAGACAAGGGCCATAAAAAGGTCCCACCATTGGGGAAACCCTCTCAGGCCCCAACAAGGGTCAAGGCAGACACCCCCCTCCAAGGGGTGATTCGTGCCTTGACCAATAATAAACAATCTACCTCCATCCACGGGTGCTCTTCCACGACTTTCCAGCGATGGAAGAGCATTCTTCCACCAGCGCTCGCAGAGAGTACAACACAAAAAATAAAGTTCTCTAAGACTACTAGAGACCCTTCCACGTCATTAATTTGCCGTAGGAAGCGCGAATCGAGCGTACAATAGTTCGGTCGCGCATGTACGTTAGGCGACTAACCGAACGTACGGACAAAACAAAGA